GAAAAACTCCTTCCCATGGTGCACAGCAGCAGGTGCAAGAGTAAAGCCATACAACCTTCAGGAACCTTGCCTCACAATTGCTGTAGGCCATGAATCACTCCCTCTTTTCCTCTTGTATGCTATCAGACTGACTCCTTGCACACCCTGCTGTATACTGATAAACCAATCACAGCCCCAATTACATTTTATCCCATATTTACTTTTTTTTTTCTTTCTACCAGACAGTACCTATCTCGAGCACAGGTACTGAATCTGTTATCTTTTTTAAATTTCTGAAGCCAAATACAGTGCCTGGTCAAGGGTAGAATTTCGACAGTGCCCTCTCTTTTTAATGAATGAATGAAAATAACTTGGTTATTGATTAAGTAACTAATTCATGAAATTTCAAATACATGCAAAAATATCTTACCTACTTCTGAAGTTTTAAAATTATAGCATATGTTTTCACAGCCAAATCAATTTGTTTCTCCTAGAGTCCACTTCTGTTAGGTTAATTCCAAAGATTTCAGTCCATATAATAGGGAAAAAAATATTCAAATAAAGGTTTACACACTTTTTCATTTCCAATGCATACGCTTCTATTAACACTCTATCTTAACCATCTTTGAATCCCTAATGATCCTTATAGTTTCTGGTACCTAATATGCACTCAAATATTTGAATGAAGTTATTTTTAAACTACCATGAGTTAGTATATTACAATTAAAGAAAAAAAAGCTCCAATGTAAAACATTTTAATAGGTTGTCAAATATACAGTTATTAGAATTATCTAAATATCACTTATAAAAATTGGTATATCACATTAGATGATTCTATAAAATAAAATCACACATTGACAATAACCCCTGCAGTCCAAGAACACCCCCCCATCAAGAGTACAAATTACAGACACATTAAAAAAGAGACATTTAAACCAATATAACTTTGACTAGACTAAATACATTCATTCATCAAGTACAATAAACTTAGCAGTCACTAATAACACAATTTTAGGTGCAATTTCACATGCTTTCATAAATCTTCCAGTATAGCTCCCATAGTAAAGTGTCTTTGTGCACACCATTTTCATTTATATGCAGGTGCATCATATCATACATCATACTTGAGACTATTTCACTTCATAATTAAACTTGTTAATATATATTGTAAGTGAACAACAGGCCAAAATTTAGGCGCAATGATGACAAAGTTTAACAATTAAAAAAATTCTTGAGAGTATATTTTAATTTGTTTAATCTCATGAATACTATTTCCTTTTACTAGATGCTATCAAAATTATAATTTAAATATTAACTCCTCAAAAACGGAAACTCCAACCTTCTTAAAATATTAACAAGCATTTTCAGTAACAATAAAATCATTCTGTAAGTCAAAAAGTAATTTCATGTTCCTTGCCAAATTTAAAATACCAGTGATTTGAAGATTGAGGCCTAAATCATTTGTACTATAAAATGCAATGTAAAAAATGTGCAGTAATTTGCTTGTGAAAATATAATGGCATGTTTTTCACAGTAATGTTATGTTAAAGCACTACTCTAAATGGTCAGTCTAAGTAAACGTACCTTTACCAGCAAGAAAACTGAAAACTTAAGGCCTTTTTATGCTACCCAAACTCTAAGTCAAATAGAGGTTACAATGCTGTGAAGTATTTTTAACCTCTCTAACATTGTTAGTTGCTTCATCACAACTTAATAATTACCTTATCTTTACACAAACTCAAATGCTAGTTAACTTTATCATCTTGAAATGAATATTTCTCTGTATCTCTATTTTAATTCAGTCCCCAAACCCACCCCATCTAGAAAGAATGCTGGAATAGGGCTCTGTCTGATTGGTTCACAACTACATATTCAGGGGCTAAAAATGCTTGGCACATGGTAGATATCCAGTAAGTATTTCTGAATAAACTAAGAAGCCTGGCCTCCATAGGCAACTCTACTTGTTTTCCCAGAGCATTAATAGACAACTTGCCTCTCTGCATGACCAAATTGACAATTTTTTAAAAGAAACTGATGTCTACGCTGTGATAACATAGAATGTAACGGAAGGACAACTGAAGGTACACATATATCAAATCAAGGTTAAAGGCACTGGATCAGAAAGATTATTACAAAGCATTGTAAACAATTTTTAAAGCAAATCAAGTTTTAAAGTATCAGACGGCGAACTGCCATGAGAAAATGGTACTAAAATGATGGCAATGCTTTAAAATAGTGGACGAAATTTCTGTAATTTCACAAATAAAATTCTTTCATTGTTTTACCATTTTCTTCCACCCTTTCCAAAGCCTAGAAACAAATGTTTTCAGTTGCATGAAACAAGAAAAATGCAACTGAAATATCTCTGAAAATTAGTTTCTTTTTCTTAAGTTATGTTATAAATTTGATAGAAATGATGTAAAGAACATCATCTTGAAAATCATTCAACAGTAAATTATACTGTCAAAATAAAATAAAAAGTTCTTATTCAGTTGAACACAATCTAAAGCCCCACAATAGCAAAATGTAGTGTAAGAGGCAGAGTAAGTACAATCTTTCCAGACACATAAAGAATAATGAATACTGAGTTGAAAATACCACAAGCTCCATGTTAGAGCTATTTAATATACACATTTTCACAACTGTTTCTTGAAAAACTATTTAGATAAAATATTTAGCATTTATCAATTTTTTATTTGAATCTATGCAACTTCCATCCATATTAAAATATCAATTAGTGTAAATACTTTATTATAAAACTATTATACAATTTAAATTTTTATTAGAGAAATGTATTATTCACTCTCCATAATTTCTTAAAATTCTTTTATGAGTGCATTCCATAAGAAATACACTAAAAACCATTGTGTTGCCTAGTGGAAAAAATTTTGATAATCTATCAATCCAAACTATATCCTTATTATGCTTACTTCTTAAACATTTACATGTTTAAATATGCTTGGTAAATAGTGATCATTCTATTCCCACAGTGGTAAATTTCAGCATAATGCTAAATGACTGGAGTGGATAGTAAAATAGTCACATATAGATTACATACACAGATACTTATTCTGTTATATGTAAGCTTACTTATAAAGTAGCATAAAATGAACATCGGATAACAGTGATAAAAAATGTAAACAAACAGAATTAAATGTTAATCCCTTCCCTGAAAAACAAAAGATAAAAGCGCTTCTTGTTTTATTAAAATAAAACAAAACATGATCTATTGTATCAAAAAGGTAAGACACTGATTTTACAAAACTATATTTCCAAATATGAGTAAAGAAAATCTGAACAGTTTACTCACACTTTATTGAGCTAAAATGTGCAAAAAACCTGGTAATACTTAAATGTATTAAATTCATTTTACATAGGCTGATACCATCCCCTACAAAAAAAAAATTCTTGTTTTGTTCAGATTCAAAATAGTGTCTGATTATCTGAACTTAAAATTTATTGAACCACTATCCAAATAACAAGTCAATATTGTACGAAAAATCAAGTAAAACTAAAAAATTTCTATTATGTCTTGAATTCATCCCCATAAAAAAAGCAAAAGCCAATACCCACTTAGGCAGTAGAGAAAAATATGAATTCCCTATAGAAAACTTACAATAACTCTAAAGAAATTAAAAACAATCAAATTCTGCTCTAACAAAATGCATATGAATTTCAAAGTTATTCAGGTTTAATAGATTTATTAAGCTTATAATTCACAGAGCGTTTGGTACTTCTGTTTGTGCTCAGATATTTGCAAACTGCCCTCAGAGAAGGTTGGGAAGGTGACTTAAACATGAAATTGTGATACTTTCCTTCACACCCATAAAGGGTGCATGGATTTAAGATTAATTTGTAATTCTAGGGGAAACGGGGGGAGGAGAGAGGACACTTAACAATTCCCAACTCTCAACCATTTTCCAAGAATATGGCAAAACTGTTAACTACTTAGATGTGCTATTAGTGAATCAAATGCAAGCAATGAGAGCATAAACATCTAACCTATTTGCAAATTTAAAGTTTTAAATGTTTTCAATAGTAACTGGATATTTTTTAAAAGGTGAATATGAAACACAGATAACACAGAATCTAATTTATACAGGAAAAATAGTGTTGTCCCCCTCCATGAAATTAAATAATAATTTATCTCTTGAATATAAAACAATTTTGAGTAAGAATGAAACAGAAGTGTGGGTTTAGATATGCACCACTCTCTATGATGTACTAATTTACACAGCATTTTTGATAGCACAGTATTGGATGTTGTCCTTCACTGCATATTAGAATTCTGAGAAACACCATTTTTAGCAACATATATTTATACTACTTAGCTAAATGAACACATAAAAATATATAAACTTTTTAAAATTTTAAGGTATTTAAAGGAGAAATGAGACAAACCTTCATTCACCCACCTTTTTGAAGCTGCAGTTAGAGGAAAAAGTATTATACAGTTTATAACACTTTTCACAATGTAGTAAATATATATTCCAATTTGCCCATAAAAGATTTTAAAAGAAAAACATGTTCCTTCCAAGTAGCTTGTCTCTTCTTGCCCTAGCAAGAATAATTATTAGTGCTCTTAATTTCAAGATTTTGTTTTTGTCCAATTCAAATATCTTTTTCATGTATAACATGTTGAAATGTGAATAATAAAAATTAAAGGGAAAATCTGCTTTTAGAATGCAGTACTTCAAAATCATTTCACTAAGAAGCACCTTTTGATATGCTGGTCTAAACTTTAATATAAAACCTAGACAGTACTTATTTCTGAAGTAGAATTTTCTCCAGTTTTAATAACTTCAAAAAGCAATACTAAGTACATCAACCTGTGCTTTCTAGATTTTTGAAAGTGTTCTCATAATGTAATGAGTTTAGATATGGCTCATTGTCAAGGTTGGGTGGACAGAGGTTTCATGATAAACTGACTACAGAAAACTAAACTCTTAATGACTGAATAATGGTTTGCATTTTGCTTAAGTCACACAGATGTTTAAATCATGTACCACCACATTCCCTGCTTAACATTCCAAAGTTTCTTTATTCTTCATAGTTTTCTAATGAACAAATAATTAGTTTTCCTGAGTAAGATTATAAAAAAGTTAACCCTCTACCAAAAGTATAAAGACAAATAAAATGTAGACTCACAATACAAATTGTTTACATAGCATTACAAGTGCAGAGATATTGACTGCTGCTCTTCACAATGATTGCCCCACCCCTTAAAAAGACTGCAGCAAAGGATTCAATTGTCTAAAATACTCTGCAGCACAGTAATTAAATTCTTCAGCCCATAAACATATCCCTCATCTATTGTGTTGCTAGGGAATACATGAGCAAAATCTATCATTCGCACTTCTACTTCCGCAATCTCTTGGCAACCAGTGGGAAGATGGTAGAAAACTTTTTCCAGTTGGGAAAGTACATTTCCATTTAAATGTTCCTGTGACAAGCTTTTCCACCCATTGTCTTGCTCTATATTTTCAACTTTCAATGAAGTCTGACTGTGATGCTTTTTTGAATACATTTTTCTGTGACGAGCATACATCTTGGACAAGCTTTTGCCTACTGAAGCCTCTATTTTTCCATTTGTTGTGGAACTTAACGCTCGAAAGTTATTATTGTACTCCAGTACGTCTGTGTCTGAGAGTTGTCCTTTGGACAATAACTTTTCTGCCAAAGTTCTGTCATTTGATTTTGTAGTAGTTGGCTGAGATGAACCTTCATAAACAAACAGTAATGAACTTGCATAAAAGTTAAGCTGCTTCTGGCCTTCAAACCACCGCAGAATACTCTCAATCTTCTGAATACTGGCAGCAACAGCATCTTTTCTTAAGCAGAATCCATTATGAAAAAACCTAGAAACTCCTATAAAAAGGAAAATATAATAACATTGTAATGTATTATTATGATTATAATACAATTATAAAACAGCTACCACTTGGGAAGTAAATTCATCTTAGATACCATTTTTTCCCATTATCCCTTGCAATTAACTGAACAGGGAAGAATTCTAGTCAGATATAGAAACAGGGACCTCACTTAATTTCTGGTGAAGATGCTTTTACTAGAAAACATTTAAGTGACACTTACGCAAAGTGAAACATCCTATTCAGACAAAAGTATTTATTACAGATAGACTGGTAGTTTAGTCCTCTCTACATATATTCTCTTCAGGAATGTATTCTAAGAATTGCTTCATTTGCTATTGTGAGGGATTTTATAGAAAAATTTCTTGTTTGTTAGAATCACATTTAAGAGCTAATTTAAAACCTAGAGTTAAATCATAATCATTATTTTTTTTAATCCTCACCTGAGGATATTTTTTCATTGATTTTTTAGGGAGAGTGAAGGGGAGGAAAGAGGGAGAGAAAGAGAGACAGTGATGTGACAGAAACACGTCAATTGGTTGCCTTCCACCCGCAGCCCGACCAGGGCCAGGGATCAAGCCTGCAACCAAGGTATGTGCCCTTCACCGGAATTGAACCCAGAACCCTTCGGTCCACAGGTCAAATCTCTAACCACTGAGCAAAACAGGCGAGGGCAAAATCATAACCATTTTTTAAAAATATGTTTTTGATTTTAGAGAGAGAGGGAGGGAGGGAGAGATGGAAACATCATTGTGAAAGAGAATCACTGATCAGCTGCCTCCTGCACACCCCCTACTGGGAATCGAGCCTGCAACCCAGGTATGTATCCTGACCGGGAATTGAACCCTGATCTCCTGGTTCATGGGTCAATGCTCAACCACAGAGCTATGCCGGCTGGGCAGATCATAACCATTTTTAATGGTGTCAACATCCCATTACTAAAATACCACGTTATAACTGTACTAAATTTTTCCTGTTCTCAATAATATTGATTAAATCAGTCTTTTCACAAAAGTTAAACTCACTTTAGAGATTAGCACTACTCTAGTTTGAGTATATTATCCAAAATTAAGACTTAAAAATGCTTTAACCTATCAGATTATTAGGTCTCTTAAAATTACTTATGCCTATTTTATCGTATTTGGAAATTTATGGGTACGTACGATTTGATTTCTGCCTTTAAATAGCTTGTTCCCCCACTCTGAGACAGAAACTTCTAAAAAATATATTCTGATTAGAGAAATATTTTAATAAAGAGCCAATCTGCATGTTATCTTGCTATTGGCCGAGGCAAATACTAATTGTTAAGATCACATTGTGGATGCCTGTTTTTTACACATAAAATAATAATTCTTCTTCAAACTCTTTACACATAACCTGTTCCCTACCTGAGGTAGAGCTAAAAATAAACTTTCAATAGAATATTATTTCCAGAAATCTAGGATATTACTGCTTTCATCTTGTCCATAAATATTTTAGAAGCATATATGTTAACAGACTTTATTTAAACTACTTTTCATGCCACTTGTTCATTCATAATGTAGTTCTAGAAGCTAATAATATGCAGCTCAACTATAAAAGAGAAATTTAAATAAAAAAGAAATTACATGCTACAACACACACTTTAAAGTCTCTTATGTAACAAGCAGTTTTAAGATACCATGATCTATATACTACGATTTTTTAATGTTTTTATTAATTTTAGAGAGAGAAAGGGAGCAGGAGAGAAACACTGATGTGAGAGAGAAACATCAACTGGTTGCCTCCCGCATGCATACCGACCAGGGACTGAACCCAAAACCTGGACATGTTCCCTGACCAGGAATCGAACCAGTGACCTTTTGGTGCGTGGGATGATGTTCAACCAACTGAACCAAACTGGCCAGGGCTATATGCTATGATTTTAAAGACCACCTCTAGTTCCAGTACTTGGATTAGATAGTTGGTTCATAGATATTCATTTTTACTTAAGTATATTAATAAAAAAAGAAATGAATGAGCCCTAGCTGGTCTGGCTCGGTAGTTAGAGTGTCAGCCTACAGACTGAAGGATCCAGGGTTCGATTCTGGGCAAGGGCATGTACCTTGGTTGCAGGCTCGATCCCAGGCACTGTCCGGGGTGTAAGAGCCAACCAATTGATGTGTCTCTCTCACATCGATGTTTCTCTCTCTCCCTCTCCTTCCTTCCCACTCTCTCTGAAAAGCAACAGAAAAAATAGCCTTGGGTGAGGATTAAAAAAAGAATTAAAATTTAAAATACACTCAAGGTTTTGGTATATATGAAGCAGGGATCAAGATTAATCCAATTGTGTGAATATAAGTTTCTTTTTTTTTTTTTTTAAATAATTGTGAAGTTTTGGAAATCTAATTGGGGCAAAATAAATTATGGTATGGTATATCCTGTAACAAAAGTTTAAGTTTACTTATTGTGAATTGAATCATACCAAAAGAGAATTAAAACCAAAATCACTTTGGAATTATTTTGATAACTGTGCAGTAATAAAAGCATTGAAATACGGTTTTTCAATCCTTACCATCCTTCAGAGTTTCTTTTGTTAAGCTTCTTCCATAGTGCTGGTTTTGTGTCTCATAACTATCAGAATGAACATGATAAACCTGTCAGAAAAAGCAGTGAATACTAAAAATGAATAGTCTTTGACTGTGTGGAATTTATCTCAGCAGTGGTTAAAGATGGAAAGATCTATTCATATGAGTCACTGTAATAGATTGAAGAAAAAAAAAATAATGTCTTCATATCAATAGATTCTGAAAAGGCACTTAACAAATTTACATCCACTACCAATGAGAATTCTTTAAAAGGATAAATGAGTATTTCCGATATGAAAAATTATCCACCTCAATCCACCAAGGGTTAGCCTCAAGTTTAAAGCTGGCCAAAAAAACTGCAAAGTAGCCTTTGGAAAAAGTCAGGAGAGTGTGTAGCATCACCCAACACAAAGAGGAATGTTTCAAGGAAAACCTAGTCAGCTTTGAAGGCTGCTTTTCAAAGTGAAGTAAGGTGAGTAATGAAAATGACATTTGGATTTAGTGACATGAAGACGTCATTAAGGACGTTAGTGAAGAGCCAATCTGGTGGCATGATGGAGTAAAAGCCAGATTGGAGGTTGAAAAATACTAAGTGGGAAGTAAGGAAATGGAAATAACTAGTTTGTTTGTGAAGGGGAGGCAAGTTAAACTCACAGTGGAACAAAGTAAAGGTGGGTTTTGATGTTTTTAAAAAATTGTGAAATGAAAAGACTCAGGAAAGAGACAGAAACTGAAGATATAAGACATGAGAGAGAATCAATAGTATTAGATTCCTGAAGAGGTGGAAGATGAGATCCAGAGGGCACAGGGAAGGGCTGTCCTTAGGATGGAAAATTTGTCAATGTGACAGGAAGGAATAAAGAGGGAATGAAAACACTTGCAGGTTAGGTATGTACATCTATCTAAGGGAAATTAAAGGAAATCTTGTCTAATGGCTTTAATATTTTCTGAAGCAGAAAGCGAAGTCCTCTGATAAAAGTGAGAAGGAAAGTGGAAGAGTAAGATTTAAAAACAGTGATGGTTTAAATAGTTGCCCAGTCAGATTACTGTGGGATGTTTATTTCTTGTCTGTTTTAACATTATGCCATTAACCTTTTTCCCTTTTACTATATGCCCACGTTTAATTAGTTTTCTAAATGAAATAACTGCATCAACAATTTCTTTGATCAAAATACCAAATTCAACTGTGCTGTTATAACCATCACATTAACAATCCATCTATAATGCTTTCTATTTATTAACTCTCCTATTTAAAACTCAGAAGATCCATATGTCATCTTTTACAGTGAATTTCAAAACCACTCCATTATGCTTACACAGGTGCACAACCACCTAGCAAGTTCAGCCTCCACACTTCCAACCTGCATCTCACTGGCCCTGCAGCCCCCACGCTCACCTTCTTGGAACGAGGCGCATGGAGGAGCCCCACCTAGCCTCCTGGAAGATGAAAAACTCCATGGGAAAGGCCCAAAGGAAAGTCAGAACAAATGACCACATGCACGCGTAAGGCCACTTCAGACCACCTAGACCCAGTCAAGCCATCAGATGGGTATGGCCACATGAAGCACTTGAGGTGAGATCGGCAGAACTGTCTATTGAGAGCAGCTCAAACTGCCCACCACAGAATCAACAAGCAAATAAAACAACTCTTTTTAGGCCACAGCGACCTAATTTTAGTTTCCCTTTTCTATTTCAAAAATATAGAAAAATTACCAAAAAAAAAAAGAAAGAAAAATTACTGAGTATATAAACTTAGCACTTTCCTCATGGGAAAATCATAAATAATATAACATTTATTTACCATGTTATTTATATTACAGCTAAACTTAAAGCTTATTTAAATCAAATTTACCAGAGTCAGAGTCTTGAGGGTCAGTCATTCATTCATTAATCACATACTATCTGTCACAATCATTCCAGACACTGACCATATATCAGTGAGCAAAAAATAAAATCTCTGCCGACACTGGGGAGTTGTAGACAACTGAATTCCGAAATATATCATCTTATTATATATTAGTATTATAATGATATCAATAATTTTCAAGGAAAGAACATGTAAAGAAAAATGTATTATACTAATAATCACTCTTACCCTCATGCCAAGCACCAAGAACCCAATCTCTTCCATTAATGGGTACTTGCTGACCTGTTGCTGAATCTTCTCAGATGAGGCAAAAGGATCATAGCTTTTCTGCCCTATCTTTACATCCATTATACAGGGCTTATTAAACTTATGGGTCACATCTTCCAGTTTTAGGTATAAATCTGTTATTAAAGAAAATTTTAATTAGTGATGGGCAAACAATATTACCGCTCAAGTAAGTTCCAAGGGAAACAAAATGAGGAAGAGTTAAAACTGAGAAAAAAGTTAAAACAACTCCAGAGTCAACAATTAGTATAGGTATCGCAGAGAAACTCTTGCAGGAGGTGGATTAAATAACATTCAACCATAAACAGAAGATATGAAGTAGATAAGGTTTCCAAGGCATTAAAAAGGCACAATGAGAGTCCTAGCCAATGTGGCTCAGTTGGTAGAGTGTCAGCCAGTGCACCAAAAGATCACCAGTTCGATTCCCGGTCAGGGCACCTGCCCAGGTTGCGGGCTCCATCCCCAGTAGGGTGCATGTAGGAGGCAGAGGATCAGTGTTTCTCTCATCAATTACTGAAGAATTTCTATAAGCATTTAGACATATTTATTAGAAAGTCTGAGGGGCTATAAGGGAAATAGTTGTGGAGACAATAAAACAACCCCCTTCTTAACATTCTTTTAAAACTGAGTATTTAATTATAGTATCTAGACATCCAATCTAACACCATCCTCAGAAACCTTTGTTAATCTTTCAATGTCACTTTCTTGAGAAACAATGATTAAATTAAATCATGTTCTAAATTAAACATCAGTAGCAAAGTTAACTGAAATACAGATATCCTATATTACAATGGAAATCTCTATGATTATAATAATCTGTGAAATAATTTAAGCAACATACTGATCTGAATCAGAAACATATATTTGTGCCTGGCTGGGCGTGGCTCAGCGGTTGAGCATCAACCTAGGATCCAGGCGATTGGGGTTCGATTCCCGGTCAGGGCACATGCCCAGGTTGCGGGCTCGATCAATAACTTTCTCATCATTGATGTTTCTATCTCTCTCTCTCTCCCTCTCCTTTCCTCTCTGAAATCAATAAAGATATATTTAAAAAAAAAACAAAAAAACAAACATATATATTTGGGACTAAAAGACAAGAAGGGGGGAGGGGGAAGGGAGGGGAGAGGAAGGAAAAAGAGCCCAGGCTCACTCTTTTTCCCCCCCATCCAACTGAAGTACAGAAGAATCCTAAATACCCAGGGGAACCATCGATTTAGTATTACCTAACTGAGGATACTCACAGAAGAATACCATGATTCCCTATTAATGAAACCTGACAGTCAATGAGTCAAAGGAAGACAAAGAACTGAGGAAAAGAACAAGCTAAAACTGAAGCCCCCTTCTTTCCGGTTCTCAAAATGTAGTTCAAGTACTATCTACATTTAAAAAGCTTGTAGCTTTTATTTAACAAGCATATCACTGAACTCCAACATAAATCTGCATAATCAAAATGTCTGGGCATTGAGCCTATTAATTTGCATTTTAACAAGCCTATGGGTTTTCTTAAACTCAGACAAATTTGAAACTTACCCCATTCACAAACCTTCTTCAACAGTTACACAGTCAAGCTGCTTGTTTAGTTAAATTCTGTCTGCTCAGTCAAAGGCCCTGAATTGGCAAGTACTGCTTCAAGGACTAACAAATATTAAGAGAGAGAAATGCTGTGTCCTTACATAGACCAGTTTGTCCTCTAACTATAGAACTTACTGGTAGTTTTTAAAATACTGCAATTTAAAGCCCAGAGGTGGGGGATAAAGAAGTGGGACGGGAGACAGGGAGGAAGTTATGCAAAGAAAATATACTTCCTGATGTTTTTTCCTATTCAAAATGCAAAAGAGAAAACTGCCCATAAATTAGGAAAAAAGAATATCTGTAAATTAATACAGTATTAAGTATAGTACACATATTTTCATTCAATTATAACAGACTGATCATTAATTTGTATATGCCATTTAAGAAACTGTTATGAAAAGCAAAAGTATTAATAAGTTTTCTTTAATGAAGTAGAGAATGGTAAGAAAGAAAAACACACATGTATTCTGTTTTTATAATACTAGGCTTACTTTTATGTAAAGCCTTTTATAAAACCACTCTCCTGAATTAAGAATAAAAGATGAATTTTTAGGAAAAAATTACCATTTGGTGCAGTGGGAGGTGACCAGATGCCATAATACTTTGGCAAATATTTTCGTAGTTCTAAAAGAACACCATCAGTACAATCAGCAGCATAAACCTGAAACAGAGAAATATAACTTGCAGGTTAGTTTCTTATAATACTTTATAAGTATCCTACACATTTCTCAAATGAAATAATACTGTTAATCATAATTTATCTGGCGTGAGTTTTAACTGGAAGTAAATTTGGAATAAGAAAAAAAAAGTATACTGTGTTTCCAATGAAAAGCTATACATTGTTAGAGCGTGTTCCTCTTGATTATCTAATTCTAGACTTTCACTGTCCTTGAACTATTTTACAATAAAGTAAGCCACAGATAACTCTTAGCAAATGCAAAATAATTCTTGTCCATATACTTGCAAATAAATTCTGGCCAGAGAAGGTTTAATGGATTTCCCTCCACCCCCGATGGAAGTGGGGAGTTTAGTGAACATTTGTAAATTCATTTCAACTTCCCTTTAGTCCACATAAATTTGTGTTTTGACTTGACTTTTCTTTTGAACCAGTTTTAACATCTGCCTGGTTCCATCATTAAATAATAAGTTTAACAAAATCTTTAACACATATGTATTTGATATCTGTAAGGGAGTTGTGATTTTAACTTTAAAAAAAAAAAATCCTCTACCTCAATGTACCTCTAATCACTGCTCATTTAATTCCGTGATTTATAAGCAGTAATGGTTCTAGAAAATACTAGAAATATCTAGATAGTCTGGAACTAGATTCTTAATTTTCTTTCTTGAGGAGAAAAAGAAAATATTTTTGTTTTAAAACCAACTTGTAAGATATTTTATTTATTTCAAATATGGTCTACCTAATTATCTAAAACCACTAAAGCTCAATGCTGTAAAATGCTTATAAAATCATAGTATTAGAGTTCTCATATATGTGAAACCATATTCATGTCAAGTAGTTATATATAACACAATTCTACAGAATAAACTCAAGTGTGTCAGAGACTCATCAAATATCCATGTGATACATTATATTTCCCAGCCTCCCCTGGTAAAATGTGAGCAGAAGTGATAGCAGTCACTTCCAGGCCAAGGTAATTAAGAGCAGGGTATACTTTATTATCCCACTGTTCCTGGCATAGTGACAGTGAGGGCAGCATTCATGATGATGTAACAAGATGAAGGACTCAAGTATATCTCTGTGTACTGACCTAAAGAAGTTCATGATACATTTATAAGTGAAAAACATAAAAGAACTAAAAGAGCAGAGATGTAAAATTTCTCTTCTTTTTAAACTTAGTAGTAGAACTGGAATTCACTACAACATGCCAGACAAGATAACCTAAAAAGCTTTCTACCTAGAAATATAGGATAAAATACAACAAATATTTTTTAAATGCATAGCTGAGCTCCTAAGGAAAAAAAGGAAATTCATAGGCATCTAAAATAGAGAGGACACCAAAAAGGTTAAGCTGAGCAGTGATGTTTGGGTTTCACAGAGGTCCACACTAAAGACTTGAATCAGCCCGGCCGGGTGTGGCTCAGCGGTTGAGCGTCGACCTAGGATCCAGGCCATCGGGGTTCGATTCCCGGTCAGGGCAAATGCCCAGGTTGTGGCCTCGATCAATGACTCTCTCATCACTGATGTTTCTATCTCTCTCTCTCCCTCTCCTTTCCTCTCTCTGAAATTAATAAAGATATATTTAAAAAAAAAAAAAAAAAGACTTGAATCAAAGAATCTCTGAACTCAGGCATAGATGACGAGAGTCATATGGAAAAGAGGAGAACAAATAAAAGTCTAAATACTAAACAATTAAAGACACTAGCATCGTTCTCCCTTCCCCTACCACTATACTGCAAGAAAGCTGGCGGCCAACCTGAGTGAGAACGAGACAAGCAGCAAATAACACGAGGAATAAAAAGGGAGTCACAACCAGATACAACAGACATTTAAAAAAAAAATACTGTATGAAAAACATTCCCAAGTGGGCAATTTTGTATAAAAATCTAATCTAACTATATTTTGCTAACTCATTAATAAAGACAAAATCAAGACATTGAAGAAACGGAATCACCGGTTAAGAATATATCCTTTCCAGGAATGAAGAAAAGAACAAAAGGGAAAAGAAGGATGGGAAGGAAGAAGAGAGACAAAGACAGGCAAAGGGTCTGATAAATTCACAGGTAAGTTCTGCCAAAGCTTTAAAGAACAAAATGCTTATGTGATACAAGTTCTTCCACAAAATACAATAAGCAATGCTCCTCAACTCATTTTATGAAGCTAAAGGAAACCTGATATCAAAATCAGACAAGGACAATATGTGAAGAAAATAGTTCAATCTCATTTATGAGCATAGTCGGAAAAAAATCTGAAATAAAAACTAGCAAACAAAATTCAGTAATGCCTATTATTAAAAATAAAAGGCATGTCCTAGTAGGTTTTAGTCCAAAAATAAAAGGTGGTGCAATATTAGGTATCTATTATGGCATTTACGACATTAAGAGATTAAAGGAGGAAGCTCATGATCATTTCAATAGATACAGGAAAGGTAGCTGAAAAACATTCAATACCTATTCATATCATATTTTAAACTGTTTCCTGAAATAAAAATAGAACGAATGCTGTATATCTCCCCTTTCCACTTCCACAATTTTCTATCCAAGAAACTGGCCTGAATCAAGTGCATGAATGGGATCCCTTGCCCTCTCGTCATTCTCTTACTGGTGCAGGAGAGTGGAGGGTAGAAAAGTGGAGGTCAGGTTATTTACTACTCTAGTTCCCTCCTTATCAGTTCACATCCTCTCATAAAGTTACCCTCCCCAGATCCCAGTAACCACTCCCTCTCCTTGCCCTTACAGGTCGAGGAATGGTAGGGTATCTCTTGCAGGTGGCCTTAACTCTGACCACACCTTTGTAAACAATCCCTTTATTAAAACTGACAGAGTGCACCATTTTGTTTCTTGACAGAACCTGGACTCACACAAGAGGCAATTTCCTTAACCTAAGAAGAAGTATCTACCAAAACCTTACAGAGAAAGCATATTTTAACAGGGAAATGTTAAAAGCACTTTTGTTATATGAGAGGAAGATACCCCCATCATTGCTTCTACTGAGTCCTGAATTGGAAGTCCTTGTCAGAAGTATATGGATTCAAAAGGAACAAACAAAACTTTCAATCACAAAAGATGTAATTGTCTATATAGAAAATAATTAAAATTCTTAGAGAATCTCAGATAAATACAAGTTAAAAAGAGTTCAGCAAGGATACTAGACAAAGAACACTAGACAAATATCTATTTCATTCTTATGTATTAGCAATCATTGGAACACTTAATTCAAAAAATATGTTAACAATTGAAACGAAAAATAAGGTACCTAAAATAAACCCAACAAATTATGTACAAGACTTTTACAGAGTAAATATAAAATACTTTCTTCAAAAAAGAGGCATTATGTAGCAGCTAAAAACATATATTCTAGAGCCAGGCTGCCTACGTTTAAATCCTGGGGCCACCATTTACATTAGCATGATCATGATCAAACTGTTTACACTAATTATGCCTTAATGTACAGATGTATAAAATGAGGATAACAACAGTACCTAGTTCACAGGTAGTTATGAGAATTAAATGAGTTAACAGTGGTAAAGCATGTATAACAGTACTTGTTTTTTAACTTCAGCTTGTATTTTTTTTACTTGTTCCTAAACTTAAGAGCTAAAGCCAATAAAATTTAGAAGAAAACAAGCATAAATCTTCATGACTTTCGACATGACACCAAAAGCACAAGAGACAAAAGAAAAAACTGATACACTGAACTCCAATATTTAAAAACATTTGTGCTTCGAAGGACACTATGAAAAAAGTGAAACAAATACCCAAAGAATGGGAGAAAATATTTGCAAATCATGTATCTGATAAGGGCCTTGTATCTAGAATATGTAAAAAATTCCTACAACTAAGTAAAAAAGACAACCCAATAAAGAAATGAACAAAGGATCTAAACAAACATTACTCCAGAGAAGATTTAGACATGGTCAGTAAATACATGAAAAATGTCCAACATCATTAGCCATTAGGGAAATATAAATTAACATAAACCACAATGAGGTAACACTTCACTTGGATGGCCATTAAGAAAGAAAAACTAACAAGTGTTGGTGAGGATGTAGAGAAATTAGAGCCCTCATAATATTGCTGGTGGAAATGTAAAGGGTGTAGCCACTTTGGGCAACACTTGGACAATTCCTCAAAAATTTAAATGTACAATTATCATATGACCCAGCAATTCCAGTCCTAGATATATCCCTCCCAAAATTGGAAACAGGTACTCAAACAAATACTTGTACATGAATGTTCATAGAAGCTCTACTTACAAGGCCAAAACATGGATACAACAAAATGTGGTAAGTATAATGGAATATTACTCAGCCATAAAAAAACACAAAGTATTAATGCATACTATAATGTAGGTGTGCCTTAAAAACATTAAACTAAAAAGCTAGAAACAAAAGGTCACATATCATATTAGCAGACTGGAGGTCGCCAGGGACTAGGAGGAGTGAGGTACAGGGCATCATGCCTTCAGAGTTGCAGGGTTTCTTTGGGATGATGAAAATGTTTTGTAACTAGACAGAGGTAGTGGTTGCAAAACACTGTGAATGAACTAAAACTTCCTAGTCATGTGGTTAATTAAATATTAAGTCTGCCCCTTGCCCCCCACTTTGGAGATTCAGTGTGTATCAGCACTAGGCTAAGAAATCCTGTAGTGAAAACAGTTAAACTCAGCATTTCTGAGAAATACAAATAGTCTCTCAGTTAGGTGTTTTTCAAAATGTAGGTCACAACCCGTAATTAAAATCAATTTAGTGGATCAGAATAGAAAACACTAGGCTGTATCAGTAATGATAAGCACTGTATTTCATGAAGCTTTTGTTTCAGTCACACACACACATTATACTAAGACATGCTATCAAATATATCTTTTACTGCATGATCACCAGAAAACTGAAAAACACTTTGAATACAACAAACAAATCTTACCTCACTTACCATATTATAGAATTCTAGCTCTCTTGGACCCCTTGGAGGTGGCTGCAGCTGTTTCAAAACTGTGCCATCTGGATGTTGCAAGATACCTATAGAACAAAGATCAGATTTTTTTAATGTGTTATTTTTATTGATTTCAGAGAGAGGAAGGGAGAAGGAGAGAGAAGTAGAAACATCAATAATGAGAGAATCATCAATCAGCTGCCTCCTGCATGCCCCTACTGGGGATCGAGCTCACAACCCGGGCATGAGCCCTGACCAGGAATCAAAGTGTGATCTCCTGGTTCATGGGTGAACATTCAACCACTAAGCAACACTGGCTGGGCAAAAATCAGTTATTTTTAATGCTTTGATAATAATGTATCTTGCATCCTACAATAGATTTAGATTTGTTCCTTAAGGTACAGGTACACCACTTTCATAAATTTAAGGGCTTCCTTTTATTTACTTCAGAAATTTTAACATTCAACCAACATGTTTCAGTGCTTGTTATATGCAAAGCACCAGAACACAAATTTTAAATAGCTTGGATTTTTAAAAAATTTTTATTTTTTTAATATATCTTTATTGATTTCAGAGAGAGGACAGGAGAGAGAGAGGCAGATAGAAATATCAAGGATGAGAAAGTCATCATTGATCGGCTGCCTCCTGCAGGCCCCTGACTGGGGATCGAGCCCACAACCTGGGCCTGTGCCCTGATGGGAACAGAATCTCAATCTCCTGGATCGCAGGTCGATGCTCAACTGCTGAGCCACACCCGGCCGGGCCAAATAGCTTGGTTTTATTGTCTCCACAACTATTTCCTTAATTGCTCCTCAGACTTTCTAATAAATATGTGTAAATGTTTATAGAAATTCTTTAGTAACAAACTTTCCAGGAGATGTTAATTTATAGTTAAACAAGAAGCAAGTTAAAAGCAGTAGCAATAATTGATCTCACTTTTACAAAGAGGGAAAAAAAATGTTAACAGTGGTCCTATATGAATCTTCTACTTTGTAATTTTTTATGTCTCTCTCATCTGTTAAAAGAAAGCAAATAATTATTTTCCTGATTCAGATGCACTGTATATAGTTGTAGAGACAGAATGAAGGCACCTAGCCAATGAGAAAAATAGGGGCCCCAAGTCTGGAGTAGGAAGGGGCCACCTTTTTATAATCTGCCGAAAAAAGGAGCCTTTTTCTGAAGTCATTATGTATTATAAGCAGAGAGTCTCAATTTAGGACTAAAGTAATCAAGTTATTTGTTTTAATACCTAGATATAGAACAGGTAAATATTAATCCATGTGGATAAGACTGGATGGGAAGCAAAGGATTTTGGGACTTTAGTCTAATATAATTAAAAATTAGTGAAGAGAAATTCTAATTCTGAAGATTGGGATATATAGAACAAGAAAGACCTTCACTTCCATGGTAAGAGGCAATTTCTACCGACTAATGAAGAGTGGTGAATGAAAAGAAACCTTGATGAACTAAATTCCAGAAGGTGGAGAACATGAAGCATTCATAAATGAGAGAATCAATGGCAGCTTCTCTACCTCAGGATAAGTACCTAGTCTACAGATGGGTGCACCTGCCATTGAACAAACTCATTAAGAGGCAAGCAAAAATCAGCTTGATCACAGAAAATAGTGTGAGGTAACAGGTTGGATTAGGCACAATAGTTTTAACAGACTGCTTGGTCCAGCAATTCTCCCACACTACTCACTCTGCAACAGACCCCATCTAAATTTTCAGAAAAGTAGCCATGGAAGAGATGGTAATCCCAGGCATTCTCCCTGTGAATGAATTCCAGGATCCAAAAGTAGACCAACAATATCTAAAACTGACAAATCCCTCCCAGCTGAAAAAGTGTCAAGATTAAAAAAAAAAAAAAAAGGGGGAAGCATCTTGGAAGACTGAGCCAATAACAGATATACTGCAGCTAGGATTGTAGCCCAGCATCAGATTAACTAAATTCTAGGAAGAACATGACTTATCAGCCTCTTACTCTAACAGAGGAAAAGACTGATACTCTATGTGGAAAAAAACAAAGCAAAAATTAGTCCACTTCATTCCCCACTGAATGTGAAAAAGCCAATAAAAAATTATACGATATATCAAAAATTCAACAAAATGTGATGCATAACCTAAAGAAAACGAAGTCAATTGACAAACACAGAAGCTGACAGATGACCAAGTAATTTTAATCAGCAAAGATGTCAAAACGATTATGAATGTAAAAAAATTACAGAAAAAATGATTCTATAATTTTTGTGTAAGTTGCTTTAGTCCTATAAATGCTGAACAGATGAGGTATTTCAGGAGAGAAGTAGAAATTCTAAGAGACCTAAAGCAGAGAGTTAAACAGGAATACTGGGGAAAAAAAAATCCTTTGGCAAATCAGCCTCACTCTAAACATAAGCTTGTAACAGAGGAATTTCAAGCCCATGATGTACTGAAAATATATCAGTCTGCTTAGACTTCCGTAACAAAACACTGCCGACATGTGGTTTAAACAAATGTTTATTTTTCTCACAGTTCTAGAGGCTAGAAGTCCAGATCAAGGTGCCAACCAATTTGGCTCCTGACGAGAGCTGTCTTCCTAACTTGTAGTCTCTTCATTTAGTCCTCACATTCTGGGGAAGAGACGGGAACGAGGGAGAGAGTAAATAGGAGGGGTGGGGGGCAGGGGAGAGAGTGAGTGAGTGAGAGAGACAGAGAGAACACTCCCATGCCTCTTTTTAGAAGAACTCTAATCCTACTGAATCATGCCCTCACCCTCGTGACCTCACTAATCTTAATTACCTGCATAAAAACCCTATCTACAAGTACAATCATATTGGGGGGTTTTTTAACATGAATTTTAGGGGATACAACATTCAGTCCATAACAGAAGGTAACCATAACAAAATTCAAACTTGGTTCTGACTAAATTGGCTCAATCACCAACATTAACAGCCTAACAGAAGAGGCATGTTAACTTCAGGTAAAAATACTGTTTGTGTAAGTTGCTTTAGTCCTACACATCATGTCTAGAATTTAATAAAAAATTATAGGACATATGAAAAAGCAAGGAGAAAAAAAAAATCACTGTCAAGAGATAATGCAACAAATAGAACAGTTTGAGGTGACATGGATGTTGTAATTATCAAAGAAGCTTAAAATAACCATAATTAATATATTAAAGGTTATAACAGAAAAGGTAAACAAATGCATGGAAAGATGAGGAATTTCAGCAGAAATTTTGAGAGTCAAGCGGAATATTAGAAATTTAAAAAGTGGCAACAGAGACAAAATTGCTTTCTATGGGCTCATTAGTAGACACAAAGTAGCAGAGGAAGGAATCAGTGAATTTGATGGCAGGTCAACAGAAATTATCCAAATTGAAACACGAAGAGAAAAAGAAAAAAGGAGAGTGGAAAAAATAAGAAGAAATCATCCAAGGTCTGTGGAATACCAGCCTGAGAAAACTATCATTAGAATCCTCCCTCCCAAAAAAGAGGTACGCTCATGTTCTTTGCAGTCATTAACAATAGTCAAGAGGTGGAAGCAACCTAATGTCCATCTACAGATGAATGAATAAAAAAGAGAGGTATACAGCCCACCGGCGTGACTCAACCTATAGGTTGAGCATCAACCTATAACCCAGGAGATCATGGTTTGATTCCCAGTCAGGGCACATGCCTGGGTTGCAGGCTCGATCCCCAGTAGGGGACATGGAGGAGGCAGCCAACTCATGTTCCCCTTTCATCAATGTTTCTATCTCTCTCTCCCTCTTCCTTCCTCTCCAAAATTCAATAAAAAAATATTTAAAAATAAGTAAAATAAAAGGGTACAATTTCCAGTAGGGAAAATTTGGTGAATACTATATATGTCCTCTACACTGAAAACTATGACGAAGAGAAATTAAAGAAGGCCTAAATAAATAGAGATATACCATGTTCCAGTACTGGAAGACTAAGTATCATAAAAAAATCAACTGTCATAAAGAAACCAACTGTGCCCAGCCGGGCGTGGCTCAGCGGTTAAGCATCGACCTAGGTTCCAGGCGATCAGGGTTCAATTCCCGGTCAGGGCGCATGCCCGGGTTGCGGGCTGCAGCCGATCAATGACTCTCTCATCATTGATGTTTCCAGCTCTCTCTCTCCCTCTCCTTTCCTCTCTCTGAAATCAATAAAGATATATTAAAAAAAAAAAAAAAGAAATCAACTGTCACCAAAGCAATATATAGATTCAAAGCAGATACAAAATCTTACCACGTTTCTTGGGGAAAATGACATGCTGATTTAAAATCTATAAGGAAATGCAAAGGGCCAGAAAAAGTCAAGACAACCTTGAAAAACAAAGTGGAATGCTTACTCTTTAGTACATCGAGGCTTATTCTAAAGCAACTTGAATTAAGACAGTGAGATATTGTTGCTAGGATAAACAAACAAATCAGTGAAAAAGTCCAAAAGCAAATCCAGAGAACTGACTGAAAAATTCAGGGTATATATGTACCATGGAGTACAACTGAACTGTACAAATGAGAAAGCTCTCCATGAACTGGTATTACTAATTTCTAGGATATACTGTTAAGTTTTAAAAGCAAAATACAGAACAGATATACAGCACACTGCTCTTTTTGTGTCAGAAAGGGAAATGAAAAAACATACCTATCTGCTTATTTCTGCAACAAGAAACAGAAATGAAAAATCAAAAAACAATAAAACTGGTTACCTACAAGGGATGCTGAGGAATGGGGTAGAGTGATTGGAAATGCCACGACACTTCTGATATACCTTTCTGTAAAGTTTGACTTTTTTATAGGCATTCAAAAATACCTAAACAAACAAAAATGAAGAGAACAAATTTTAGACAGAAACAAATGAGTCCAACTGTACTTCAAAAGAATATTATCAGAGCCTGGCCGGGCGTGGCTCAGCAGTTGAGCGTCAACCTAGGATCCAGGAGATCGGGGTTCGATTCCTGGTCAGGGCACATGCCCAGGTTGCGGGCTCAATCAATGACTCTCTTATCATTGATGTTTCTATCTCTCTCTCTCCCTCTCCTTTCTTCTCTCTGAAATCAATAAAGATATATTTTTTAAAAAGAAAAAAAAAAAAAAAAGAATATTATCAGAGAAGGGAAGGGCTAAAAATAAACCCCTAGGAAGTTTTAAGAGTTTCCAATCACATACCCTCAGTATAAGAGAATTCTATCTTGAATTCCTCTTATAGGTTTGTTTTCTGCAGCAGTATGGGTACAGAATTTCTAAAAATTATAGGATTGAGCAGGAAATATATACATTAACATTGTTGGGAGCAAGGGTTCTCACTGAGATAGATGGAAAATACAAATTTGGAATCAGGACAGAACACTGTGGAGTTAGAATGAAACTGAAAGTCTCAATAAAAAATTATAATAACTTAAAAATATTTAAACATACTTTGTAGTTATAGTCATTGAAAAGTCCTGGAAGCAATGGCACTCCAATAGCAACGAGCACACTTAGCGTCCAGATGTTGGTTTCTAACTACTATTTCCCACTAAAAATGAACCAAGACCCTTGGAGAACTGGCTGGTTCTAGAGTTGGAGATGAGTCTAAAATAATTTGAGATAGAAAGGAAGTACCACTGACCGTATCTGCAACAATTTGAACAGTAAAATAAGTTCTATAATGGGTTATGACATTTTATTAAGTAAGAATCCATGAGCCCAAACTGATCACAAATAAGGACATACATACATAGGAATAAAGGGAGGCCTATTTCTTATAACAGAATGCTGATTGTTAACATAGAGGGAGTGGTAGAATTGGAAGAAAATCATAATTTTTCCACTTTCAGAGTAAAGACTACTTCAGGCAACAATCATCAACAGATGCCAAATCTAGGGGTGACATACGATGAGGATCCAGAATATCTGTATGATCTTAAAATTAAAATGTCTCCCCATAGCCCTAGACGGTTTTGCTCAGTGGTTAGAGTGCTGGCTCATGGACTGAAGGGTCCCAGGTTCAATTCCAACCAAGGGCAGGTATCTCGGTTGCAGGCTCGATCCCCAGTCCTGGTTGGGGCACGTGCGAGAGGCAACCAATCGATGTGTCTCTCTCACATCAATGTTTCTCTCTCTGTCTCCCCCCCCTTCCACTCTCTCTGAAAAGCAATGGAAAAAATATCCCTAGGTAAGGATTAAAAAAAAAAAAAAAAAAATGTCTCCCCACAGATACTTATTCATTGCAAGGAGAAAAATATTAACTATATACTGGAAAAGTCAGACCAAACTTGGGCCAGATGATCAAAATTAATAATGGGCAAATGGACATTGTGAGCCTTCAGATGTGATATCTTAAACAGGACACACTTAGCCCTGGCCAGTGTGGCTCAGTTGGTTGGGCACTGTCCCATGCACCAAAAGGTTGCTGGTATGATTCCCTATCACAGAACATGCCTGGGGGCATGCAGGAGGCAGCAGATGGATATCTCACTCTCACATCAATGTTTCTCTCTCTCTCTCCTCCCCCTTCCCCTCTCTCTAAAAATCAATATAAAATCTTTAAAAAATAAATAAAAAGGATACACTTGTATAATGTTCCAACCAGAAATGCATTACCTGAATTTCATCAGGAGAACCCATGAGAAATCCAAATTAAAGAATATCTCATAAAATAACCAGCCTATATTCTTCAAAAATGACAATGTGATAAGACAAAGAAAGGCCAAGGAACTGATACAAATTAGAGGACTCTAAGAGAAATGACAACTAAATGTAATAAATGATCCTGAATTAGATCCTGTGCCGAGGAAAACAATTATGATTAAAGACATTATTGGAACAGCTGACAAAATTAGAATATGGACTATAGATTAGATGGAACATTGTATCACTGTTATATTTCACATATTTTATAAATGTGCTGTGGTTACAGAAATATACACTGAACTATTAATGTATAAAGGGCCATACAACCTATTAAATAGTTCAGGGGGAAAAATAAATGAGTAATCAAAAACTCAGAAAAATGTTAAGTTCTCTGATTGTTCCTGTAACTTTTCTGTAAGCTTGAAATTATTTTCAGTCAATTTGTTTCAAAGGATATCTAGTAAAATAGACCAGTAAACAAAAAAAGTTGTGGGTTTTCCCTCTCCAAACAGTATCAGTTTAAATCTCTTTTCAGTAGACTACCTTATTCTACATCTTAAATTGGATCAAGAGAAAAATACCAGATTTCAACTATCTGTTTAAATCTTTAAGGACTTTTGAAATAAATTAATGGTACATGCTGAATATTAAAACAAAAAGGATTTTATGCTAACTTAGGTGAATTTGGGGAATTTAAATTGCTAACAATTACACTTTTGTGAAACTTTCCTATAGAAAAAGTTACACAATGTACAAGGCATACTATAATATACCAGAATGTTTAATACATAACAAAAAATGATGAAAATCTAATAATCCAATACTAGAGAAATAAATTATAATACAACCACACTATAAAATACAATAGTTTTTTAAAAGAACGAAAGTATATTGTAAGTACAAAAATATGGATATACTACATGATATAATGCAGACCGGAAACAAAAAGTTGCTGATATATCTGTTTGTAAGAAAAGTCTCAATTGTGTTATGTGTTTATGTACGTGTCCAGGAACAAAGGCTTGAAAGAATACAGCAGAAATAGTTACCAGCTATTGCCCTTGAGAGAGAGTATGGGAAAGGGCACTACTATACTGTTTTACTCTTTGATTTTTTTTTCCCCTAAAAGATCATGCACTACTTTTACAATTAAACAAAAAATAAAAACACTTTGTATTCTTAGAAATAAGATTTCAATGTACTTTGATGAAATATGATTTCAGTGAATAACATAAAACATAACTGATATCAGAACTGTAACATATTCTTGTCACTTAACTATAACAAGATCTATTTTTCTCTTTAAGTACTGTTATGCTATTGGTTCTATATTTTTAATTTAACAAAGGCAATGTCGATGTAAGAAACATCCAAACCTGTAGAGAATTTTGATGTGTTTATTTCAGCCAAAACTGACAATTGTTGGGAAGCAAAATCTCAAATGCTCTGCAGAATGGCAGTATGCGCTTCCTTTTACTACTTGAAATTAAAGATTATGTAAAGGTGAAAGAAAGCAAGGAGAGAATTGAATTACAGTATAGTTAACAAGATTATGTGCTCTCTAGAGGTTGGTTATTTCAAAGATGTGTTAATCTTAGATGCAGAAAACAATGGACAGGGCTTGCGTAGGGCAAAGATAAATTTTTTACTAAAGTTATATACCTACCATGACCTGCCCAGTTAGGAATTAATGATCAGATCACCCTGTGAGGTTACTTTCCTGAACCCCTTTTTCGTCCACACCAACAACTCCTTTTTGGAAATAGGTAAGATATCAACCCTAAATTGAAAAACCCTGGTTACTTAATGATAGTAATAAAAATTTTAAAAACAAATATCCACACAATGTTTCTAAGAAAGTTTATTCTGAGAATGTCAGTTGACAGTCAAGCCAAACTGTGACCTACCTGATGTACTTTAAAACTATAAGTGGTTTTTTTATAGTGGAGAGACATATAAATTCTTGAACTCTGAATTACTGAACATCTTGTTAGGCATTTTATGAATAGGGAAAATTATCATCATACAGTGTCCTTTCACTAACAATTTAACCATGGTTGTGTAAATAACTGAGAATTAAATTCATCAACTACTCAGCAAATTGCTAGCACAATATGTTTGAGGCATTGTGCACTAGTGATACAAAGACAGTCCCTTAGTCTTACAAAAAAGTCTTACAAAATTGAAAAAAGTTTATTTTAAATTGAATGCAATGTAACTTAAGGACTCCTTCCTCTAGAATCTAAACAAATACCTTAATTAGGTAATTTGGGTGACAAATTCTTTTAGCCATCGTTTGCAAGGTAGTTTTAAGTCACATTCAAGGTACATTTGTAATGAGTCAGAGATAACTCTCTGAATAGGCTATTATATACTTTGATAAGCAGTAGTTACAGTCTTAAGTGACAATCATGGAGATTGTGCTTATGTTCCTTTTTGTTTATCTCTTCTCCTTTGACAGAAGTTGATCTCTAGTGACCCTTAGGAAACAATTCTTTATTCAGGCCTCTAGAATACTATTAGGAATATTATCGTCACAATTCACCAATATAAACCAATAGATATGCACATAAATCTATTAACAGTACTTAATTCCTTAAGCACTCTCAAGTTATCATTACCTAAAAGTGACACTCAAGAATACATATATGCCACGCACCTTGAGAACATGGTTTCCTTACATCTATTCTAAAAACACCTTGAGAACTATACTTAGTTCCTTAACTGGTGTACTAAACGAACTGTCAATTTTCACTCTTACATTCCCCTTCTGGAGTTTAACTGAGCCCAACGTAGAAGGCTGTGGGGATAAACAGATTTGGTCTCTAACCTCAAGGAACTCACAATCTAGTGACAACATCATTAATGCCTAACTTTCAACAAAAGAAAAGTAGGTAAAGATTAAAGTAATGGGAAGTGTTGCTCTTCGAGAAATAACACACATTTAAACAAGTACTCGTCAATTTTCAAAATCATTGTTTTATCTTCAAGCAGAATACACAGTGGAAAAAAAGAGTCCTCTCAGGCAGGACTCTTGGTTTCCAGATTGTAACACACAGTAACTGCGTGACTTTAGGCTTGTCACTTAACCAGACTTGGCCTCAGTTACTTTGTCTAAAAATGTCCGTATTATCTAACCAGCCTAAACCCAAATCATCTTACCAGCATAAACCAAATGGTCTCTGGCGGCCTGGCCTCCAGGTCTAAGATCTGCTTTACTCACACACTCATTCATCAGACTCCCCAAATAACCATGGTCCAGGAAACCAGTGTAAGCTAGATGAGTTACAGTTCCTAAACTGAACTTTACATCAACAAGATAATAAACTGATACAGGCCCTGTACTGTGCGTTAAGCACTGTCAGCTCAAAAAATGTATTACACACGCGATGATACAGTCTTATATAAAGATGATCAAAGACTAACTGAATGACCTGTGTACCATTTTAGCACAACAGCAGGGTGTTGTTTCCTACCAAGAACCCGAGTTTCTGCTACTGGAACCACGCCTCCCGGAGAAAAGCACTACATAGCAGAAAAACCTCTCAAGGGGCAGGGAGGGATCGGGATAAGACAAGACAAGCTCTCAAAAAAAAAAAAAAAAAAAAAGGGGAGAAAAAAAAAAAAAAAAAAAAAA